AGATTTCAAGGCAAAAAAAAACTATTTAAACATCTAGCATTCAACTGTGCTAAATCTTTTTCTTCTAATATCCAATCAGTAAACAGTGTTTCAATTAAAATGCCATCAACAACTATAATAGTTTTAGCGTACCCTTCTTGTACTAATATCTACATGCGATAGCCAAGTGATTGCAAAAAAGTAGACATGCAAGTTTTCCAAAAATCAAACGGGATGTTATCGAATAAAGGTAGTCTAGTGATCGAATATCCTTCAAGAGTATTCCGGTTTTCAAAATTAGTCATGATTGTTGTTCAAAAAGTAGACTTTAATTTTTGAAATTTAGCTCTAATACCACTTGAAAGTTCATGTAAGTTGTTAAACTTTACAGAACTACCCCAAGGCTAATAAAGGGGGGATGAATTGGTTATTTAAAAAATATCTTCGATTTTTGAAAAACCGTTTCAAGAAAATTTAATCAATGATCTTAAAATATGCAGTTATTTTGATATAATTATCACAAAAAAATTTCAACCACAAAACTTCAAAGTGCGGAAAAATAAAAATATTGAAAAAATATAGTGAACAAATGAACGCCAAATTTTATAGTAGTTCAGTCCAAATTTGACCTATATCCACTTCCTGAAGACTTCTTCTTCAGGTATTGCACTAAATCTAAGTAACTCTCTTTTTCTTCTAATATCCAATCAGTAAACAGTGTTTCAATTAAAATGCCATCAACAACTATAGTAGTTTTAGCGTACCCATCTTGTACTAATATCTACATGCGATAGCCAAGTGATTGCAAAAAAGTAGACATGCAAGTTTTCCAAAAATCAAACGGGATGTTATCGAATAAAGGTAGTCTAGTGATCAAATATCCTTCAAGAGTATTCCGGTTTTCAAAATTAGTCATGATTGTTGTTCAAAAAGTAGACTTTAATTTTTGAAATTTAGCTCTAATACCACTTGAAAGTTCATGTAAGTTGTTAAACTTTACAGAACTACCCCAAGGCTAATAAAGGGGGGATGAATTGGTTATTTAAAAAATATCTTCGATTTTTGAAAAACCGTTTCAAGAAAATTTAATCAATGATCTTAAAATATGCAGTTATTTTGATATAATTATCACAAAAAAAATTTCAACCACAAAACTTCAAAGTGCGGAAAAATAAAAATATTGAAAAAATAAAGTGAGCAAAAGAACGCCAAATTTTATAGTAGTTCGGTCCAAATTTGACCTATATCCACTTCCTGAAGACTTCTTCTTCAGATATTGCACTAAATCTAAGTAACTCTCTTTCCCCCCCCCCCACACAGAAAGGCAGAGAAGCCCTTACAAACTCTCTTCCACCAACCCGGTGCGGCAGAGAACAATCGTTTTTCTCACCCTCCTGGTGAAGGCAGAGAACCATCATCCTTTTTCACCCTCGTGATGAAGGAAGAGAACCTAGACGTCCTTTTTCACCCTCCTGGTGAAGAAAGAGAACCTTGACACAATGTTGAAGATCTTCTCTCAAAAGTCTCCAGAGGAGATGGACATAAATTTGAAGAAGACAAAAAAATCCTCGCTTTGGGCAACCTTATGAATCCCTCGTAACTTTCTCTCACTTGATCTCTCACACTTCACTCTCACAATCTCTTCCAAACAATCATACTCAATGGCCACTCTCAAGAGAAAATCGCAGCAAAAGTTCATAATGTAAGTTTTTAGGACTTCTTATATAGGAAAAATAAGAAAAATCATCCAAAAACTGAAAAATACAAGTAAAATGACTTCATACAGTACGATCATGAATCGTCTATATAAACAGTTCAAAAATCCCGGTATGAATTTGTACTAACCTAATTTTGTACACTGTTAGTCGTCTGGACGAATTAAGATCGTATTGTACGAACAGTTCAAAAATAGTGTTTTCGTTTAGTACGATCTGATACGAACCTTAATTCATACAATGTTAGTCGTCTGTACAAATACATATCATATTGTACGAACTATTCAAAAATTAATGTGTTCGTTTGGTACGATCTAGTACGAACCTAATTTCGTACTCTGTCAGTCGTTTGTACGACTTAAAATCATACAGTACGAACAGTTAAATAAATCAGGCTTCGTTTGGTAGGATCTTAGACGAACCCAATGTCGTACTCTATCAGTCGTCTGTATGACTTGCCATCGTACATTATGAACAGTTCAAAAGTAAAAGCCATGATTTGATTGACTGCATTCTGGAGCAAAAATTATGACAAATCGTACAATATGATATAGATATTGTACAGTACGATTAGTTTTAAAATTTTAAGTTTTAACTCTCTCCCACTGTGTATGCACGGTTACCCAATTACAATCATACTCTCTCATCTCAAACTCAAGAAAATAAAAAAAAATAAAGATTTATAGACTTTATTACATAAAATCATATTCTACTCTATCTTAAAGTCTTCAGTAGTCTAAAGTATAATTTTCCTTAAATTACACACAAAAACAAATAAAAATATCTAGTACATGCTAGGAGAACCAATAAAATTAACAGAACAATAATATTTTGCTATCATCAAAAATCACAATCTAAATCTTGATTCCTGAGTTGTAACATTTTCTTTGTAAGAGACCTTTAAGGCCTAATATGTACATATAAAACCAAATACTTTGGTTGGCGCAACGACCGTGGATTTATTCAATGATTTAGGTCATGTTGACTCTGCCTATTTGTCGATAGAGGATCAAGCTTGAACTTAAGTTCTTTTCTTGACCCACACAACATCCTCATACGTCACATATGTGCATACGTCATGCTCGTCAAGGGTCATGTGGGTATATGCTTTTGAATGCATTTTTACATGATGTATTTATATGATAGCCCTACGAATATAGTGGGTATGTATGATATATATGGATGTGTATATGCACATTTGCACGAGTACTTATATGTTTGCATGTTTACATATGTACTTTCACACTTGTATGCATATTTGTGTATTTATATATATGTATTGCATGTTAGTCAATTGTGTAGAATACTTTCATATGTTACTCATGCATTTGCATAATGCATTAGTGTGGTGACTCAAGGCACTGACGTAGTTGTTGACACATACACTAAAGACGCAAAAAGAGGAGAATTTGGCAACTTAATGGGTCAGCGGGCACGATACATCCATTAAGTGGTCAAACGACCTCCGATCACCAAATGGATTTTTGTCATTGCGATTGGAGCGTCAAATTTACCTAAGTGGAAGCCCCTTGCAGTCAAATCAAGCGAGAACGATCAAAATCAATGACCGACTCTCAAAAATGATGCGAGACGCTGCCCAAAAAAATCCGATCGCAAAACAGACTTCATTGTAGTGTTCTAAACATCTAAGTTGTCTAGAAACGACTGTAATTTTACCTAACAAAATTTGCATAGAAAAATCAACGCAGATCCCGAGGCGGCGACACTAATTTCGAGTTGTGAAAAATATTTATTTTATTTTATTTTTATTTTTATTATTACTTCTGTAATAATAATAATAATTTTTATATAAAAATAGAGAGGGCACCCAGAAACTGCAGCAACCATAGAATTTGCTTTCTTCGGCAATTATGCAGACAATCTTGGTTTGGAGAAGGATGTCATGCTTGTAAATATTAATGTATACTCAAGAAATCAATTTTTAAGGCCAAAATCTTAAATCATGTAATGCCCAACAAAAGGAAGAAGATTGACGTTTTATTAAAATAAGTGATGTCAGAAAGCAGGAAATCTCCTAATCCACTATTTTACCCAATTATGGGCATGGATAATAAGAAGACTTCTTTAGCAGGAACTGGCTTTTGTTTGGCTTCATCTTTTGCTTAATCTATCAATACTTTCAGCAAGTCTGGAAAAAATATTGTACTTAATCCATCAATACATCTACTTTTTCCAAGGCATCCAGTTTGTATAAAATGTGGATGCAATTCCCTTTATATTCTTGGGTGGCATGCATTTCAAAGACTGAGCTTATAGGCCCTCTAGACAGCAGGTATCTAGTTATCTTGGTAAGCCACCTTGCTGCGCAACCTTAAGGCCACTACAGTATTTTTGTACCATCTTGGTAAGCCACCTTGCCCCGCAACCTTAAGGCTACTACCATCTTTTTGTATTTCTCGCATATCTATTTCAGCAGCACTTATATCACCCAATTTACACCATTAAAATGAAATAACAAAAACCACATAGCATAGTACAATAGATGTTTTATAGAATTCCCATTATTGTCTTCATGTATCACTCAAATTAACCACCCTTCATTTAAACCTCTAATTGTAGTCCTTCAAGGCAGTCTGATATGCACTATGATTCTCATGATTAAAAGATCCAAGATATTTATGTGCATCTCACCGAGTTACCATCTATTTTTCTATTTATAACAGGTAATCATTGTCATTTTCAATCAACGTGTGATATATCGGGTTCTTAAAATGCCATTTAATCCTCTTTCTAGTTTGTTTAAGAACAATATCTCATAGTGGAATGCATGTCCTAGTGAAACTTATTATTTAGATTTTAGATATACTGTTGGCCTATATTATGAAATACTTTAGATGAAAGAATAATTCTCTTTTATTAGCATAAACACCGGCCTCATTCACTTGCATTATGCAACTGACTTTAATAAAAGGTAATATATATTGCTAATTCCATGAAAAATCTATCTGTATCCTAAATTTCCTCCTCTAAAAGTTCCAGTTAAAGTAAATGAGAAGGGATGTCCCATAATTGTATGGTACTATGCATAAACAAAAAGACAAGCTAAAATGTAAAAGGGCAAGTTTCAACACAACAAATTTCATAGTCCATTAGGAAGATAAATATGTTTTTTTCTCTCCAATGAGATGGAATTTAAAAGAAGAGCCAATGCTATCATCCTAAAATGATGTTTTTATTATCATTATTTCACTTCAAACAACTTAGAGCATAACCTTGTTTCTGAAACCAGCAAAATGACTTTCATCAACATTAGCAAGGAATTAAGAATGTGCTGTGCGCACATACCTTCTCACGTGGCCTTAACTTCATCCAACTTCCTATATATAAATCTGTTTTCCCATGTGTCTGCTTCTTCATTGGGATAGGATACTACAAAGTAAAAACATTATGCTCAATTAATATGTTCACGAAAGAAAATACTTTAATAATTAGTGCATATCCAAAGTACTTACGCCTTGTCACATAGTCTGCAGGAATCTCATCATATATGTACCACTCCTTCTATTAATGGTGGTGGGAAAATATTATAGTGCACCAACTTAGTTGTTATTTTCTAATCATCAACTTATTTAATAATATTTCTACTATATGTGCAAGTTGTACATGGAGTAGGGATGTAATTAAGTTAGCTTAATTTGTTAACCACCATGCATAAGACATAAATGATCCCAAGCTTCAGCTGGCTCATTCAATCAACTAGCACATAAAAATTGGTTGGGATAATTTACAATGTTTAGATCTCGAGCATTTGAATAAAAAATAATAAAAAAATTAATGCTTCATTATTGCTCTATCATTGCAACTACATTTCTTTTGTCAACTATCACAATTCTCATCCCTTTCTCTTCTCCATGATTATTCTCGTATCCTCCTATTACTCCAATCAATATCCCACTACAGAGATAAACAATGTGTTAATCAATGTATATATTATAACAACATCTGCAGAGGAACACATGTTTCTTCCAATCAACACCGACACCATTAGATCAATATCTCCTCAATGGATTTATGAAATAGCAAAATTGAAGCTTTCTTTCACTAGATCAATGTTAGGTAGTTTGATCTACATCGTTCCCATTACCATGATTGGACTCATTGTTCCCATAAACTACAATGGTTTTGTCGGAACCTCATAATTTCTTAATTATTACTTGTCAACCACCTCAAAGGAATACTAAGAGCAGGGATCAAGTTAGATTTGAATTCTTCTAATTAAGTTCAAGTCAAGCTTGTAGGATTTGACTCGAGCACAACTCAACTCATTAACACTTGTAATATAGAAGTTCATCAAAGTGCCATAAAGAATTGTCGTAGCTAAGGAGAGCTAAGAAGTAAAATTTGAGAATGACAAAAATCAGCAAAGCCATTTAACAGCAATGAAAGTAAGGACAAACAATGAGCCAACAAAGGTGGAAAGATCAGGTAATGTCAAATGCTAAACTGGTGGTCCTATAGATCAATGCAGTAAATTATCTGAAAAGAAACTGAGAAATCGAATTTTGTTTAAAAAAAAAGGAATATTATCTAGAAAACTGTGCTAAAAGCAATCTTATTAGAATTAGAAAGATGAAGCATGGGAATAGATCTTTCCAAATACATTCATTAACATAAAATGATAGCATCCAATCAAATAGCACTGGGACTAGCCATTAATGCAAATCTAGAATGAGAAGAACTAATTTTAAATTCAATAGCATCAAAAAACGAATAAGTTCAATACTCACACCCTCTGCCGTATCTAGAATATTGATTCCCCGATCAAATGCATAGCTTAGCAACTCATGAGCTTCCTTCTCTGTGTTCTGCTGCCCAAATGTCATCTGAAGAAGTGAAAGGAATAATACTTTATCAGGTTTTCAACCAAAGAACAGAAGGCCACTTGAAGCAGTAATACAACAAAAACCCCACATTCCAACTTAATGCGGAGCAAAAATATCAAATTATAAGAGCAGTTCAGAGCTAAGATTTTTTATAATTCAAAAAAGAGTCCAACAGTAAGAATAGGAAGCAACATACGGTTCCCATTGTTATTTCGCTAATTCGGAGCTCAGAATCGCCAAGCTTCCGAAATTGCAAAGGGCTACCTTCCTGCGATGCTCTAATAAAAGACGCAATAGGCCACCGTCGAGACCGTCGGCCATGAGGTGCTGGACGCCAGCAATGCCTATTCGTGCAAGTCGAGAAGTCTAGGCGAGTTATGGCGCTAAGAGAACATGGCCCAGCCGGCATTTCTTTCCACGGTAGCCACCAATTTTCTAGCTAGTCGCTACTCCTATCTACCAAAAAACTTGCCTTTTATCTCTGTGATAGTGCGAAAATCAAAATTTTTAGGGCTATTACGCTGATTGCGTTTTGATCCTAAAATATATATTTAGGAATTTTGAGAACTTAGATTCTTCAACGTGTGTTTCGAATTCAATGCATTTTAAGAGAGTGCATTTGAAATTTATTTGTACGGATCATTTCGCTATATGAAAAAGAACATTGCGTTGAGTGAAACAGTGTAAAAAGAATCCACTTTACTTATATTATTTGGTTCAATTTGAATGAATGTAAGATAAATATAGGTGATTATTTTTAATTATTTTATTTGAAGTAAAATGAATGCAATATAAAATTCAATGATATTGGAGATCCATGGCAACCAACAATACTGATAGCCACCAGTGATTACAAGAAGCAACAGTGGTGATAGCGGTGATAACAAGTAGCGGATGATGGCATTGGTGACAAGCCGCAGTTGCCGATAGTAACGGGTGACGATGATGAAAATGGTGGTGGTTAGTAGAGGCTGAGACTAGCAACTGGTAGGTGAAGACAGTGGTGATGAACAACGAACGGCGATGAAGAAAGATAGTGACAACCAATGATGACATTGGTTGGTGGTAAACGACGGTGGATTGCATTGTTAATAGAAAAGAATTTGTAATGCATTTAAAAATCAATCAAATCTAATGATTTTTAAATGCATTAAAATTGAATTATGATGAATTTCAAATACTTTTAAATTTTACTTTGTATTTATTTTAATTCACACCAAGCATCTGTATTTCAAAATCCTATATGTCAATAACTTTACACTCATTTTACTTAAAACTAAACAATCATATAATTCATTTTGAGTGTGTTTGGAATTCACCCAATTTGATTTAAACCAAAATACACATCTTAAGTAAAATTGATTTCGGTCGGTTACAGCCATTAGCCGCCACACGCCACCACTCAATGTATTGCCTGTAGGCCATATCTGATCAATATTCTTCCAAAAAGCACCATTAGTTTACATTCCATTACTTCAACAAAAAAAAAAAAGTAAACAAGCAATTATATTATACTCATCCAAACAAATCAAATATATTATTAATACACTAATTTTGCGTGCTTCGACCATAACCTACATATATGGCTAGATATCTTCCACATTTAGAATTTTATGCACAACCTGGATTAAAGAAAATCATTGCTCCTTTCAAGTGGAGAAAACTTTACACTAATCACCAATTGAGAGGACAACCTCCCTTCTTACACAAGGACAATCTCTCGCATGTTCCCAAACATAATAACATTTCAAACAAATGTGAAAGTAAAATAAAAGAAATCACAACGTATGATCAATTTGAAGTTCTCACACACGATGATTTGATGGCACTACCAAAAAACAAGCACTTTCGCAGCGGTTTTTTGCACCGGTTTTAAGAACCGCTGCCAAAGCAACTAATTGCATCAGAAATTTGAAAACAATTGAAGCGGTTAAAACTGATGCAAGTTGCACCGGTTAAAACCGCTGGCAAAGCCCATCCGTAACTTTAAGACACTCGAATCCCTAATTCCTCTCTTCCTCTGTGCTCACGCGTTCGGGACCGAATCCAGACAGCTGCGCTCGACGAAAAGCTTTTCCTCTTGCGAATCCCGGCCGACCGTCCCACTTCCATCTTCATCACTGTGAGTCTCTTCCCCTTCATCTTCTTCTTCTCTTTTTCTTCTCATTGTTTTTCTTCATATTCTTCTCCCTTTTCTTCATATTATTCATTTGCATTCCTTAGGGTTTAGGTTAATCACAACCATAGCTTAGCCGTTGGTTGTGTGCCGTGTACCCACATGTTCCATATGCATATATTTCCTTCTATGTGCCTTCTAAAATTCCTAATCTCCTTTTGGGTTAAAATGACGTAGTGGGCTAATTTGAGCGAATACAGTGAGAGTGATGGCCAACTAACACGATGTCTAGTGAACCTGGTTCAAAAAGCCTTGAGATCATGCAGTCCGATTAGAAATTTGAGAATTTTTAGCTTTGGGTGATTGTATAGTATAATACATTATTATATAGCATAGTTAGTTGTGATCAATTTTTCTTGTTTTTATGCTTGATCTTTTTTTGTTCAGTTCTATACATTTTGGGTTAAAATGATGTAGTACTACTATCAATACATTTCATAACTTTAGAAAATAATCACACTATAGTTTATAGAAGCTATGTGACAATCACTAAAGTTAGCAAAGAGATGATTTTGTTAAAAGGCTTTTAAGAAGAATTGAACATCTCAAGAAGATGCCACTCTATTTCTTGTGAAATTAAATTGTTGTTCATGGAGGCAATTGCAAACTGGGATGGAGGAGGCGATGATTTCTTAGAAAGGTTTTGCAGCTAGTTGTAGAAAATGCTAGGGTTCAACTGTTTAAGAGACAAATACTTTGGGAAAAAATGAATGGGATTTTGACTTTTAGGAAATATGAAAGTTGTGTGTTTCTTAGAGGAATATAGGAGGTTTTGATTATCATAATTTCAGGACGTAGGGCTCAAGAAAATTAAAATAATTCTTTTTGAATATTGAAATTTTGGTTCTGAAGTTTCTTGGGCTGGCTTGAATTGCTCTTATGATTCTTGCAACTTGTATAAAAAATTTAATCACTAATACTAACACAAATCTCATTTAAACTTTATTAGTTCAAATCAAATTATATTTGTGATCTCAAAATATTTCATACAAGCCTAAGATCATGGAATTATTTTAATGCTAGTATATCATATTAATCACACATGTTTCTGCGCGTGCGCACACACAATGTATTTATAATATTTTTATAAAAAATGACAATAAAATTCACTCAACTTTATCTAAGAGAATGCAGTGTTCTCTCTACTTCTCACTTATCAATTTCTTCCTCCTTGATATCTCTCTAGCTTTCATTTTAGGCTATAAGTAATGAAATAAAATTATATTGTTCCTCTATTATTTTGTGTATGCTTATTAAATGTGTATTTTTCGAGTGCTTTACAGGCTTGATGGATAAGAGTTGGATGTCAAAATAAAGTTATCTTTCATCTTACATTTATTTCGCCTAAAGTGCTTACACTCTTGGTCTGCAAGATCTTTTGATCAACTGATTGAGTTATTGATTGAAGCTTTCCCTGATGGTTCATTGCTACCTAAAAATACGTATGAAGTGAAGAAGATAATGAAAGTGTTTGATCTTGGATATATAAAGATAGATGCATGTCCAAATGATTGTTGTTTATTTTGGAAAGATAGATCTATTCAAGAGGTTTGTCATATTTGTGGTTCTTCACGGTGGATAGGGGCTAAAAAAAGTTCAGCTAGAGGAAAGAAAAATCAAATGAAGTCTGCTAAGGTTGTTCGATACTTCCCATTGATTCCTAGGCTTCAAAGATTGTTTAAAACAAAAAAATCAGCTGAAGAGATGATTTGGCATGCCAAACAGAGAAATATAGATGGGTTGTTACGACATCCAGCTGATGGAGAAGCTTGGAAATCCTTTGACTCTCGATATCCTGATTTTGCTTCAGATCCACGTAATGTTCGCCTCGCTTTAGCCAGTGATGGTTTTAATCCATTTAAGCTTATGAGTAGTACATACAGCATTTGGCCCATACTTTTGGTTCCTTATAACATGCCTCCTTGGATTGCAATGAAACAATCGTCTTTCATTCTATCTACTATTATACCAGGGGAGAAGAGTCCAGGAAATAATATAGATGTCTATCTCCAACCACTAATAAATGAGTTGTCTGAACTATGGCATGGAGTCATATCCTACGATGCAGCATCTGGACAATCTTTTAACTTACGAGCTGCATTAATGTGGACGATCAATGATTTTCCGGCTTATGGTATGCTTTCTGGTTGGAGCACTAAAGGTAGATTTGCTTGTCCTTGTTGTGCCGAAAATACAGAGTCTTTATGGTTATATAAGGGAAAGAAATTCTCATATATGGGTCATCGTCGTTGGCTACCAGAAAATCACTTATTCCGTCGACAGAAACAGTACTTTGACAATACAGAAGAGATCCGTAAAGCACCTAGAAGGAATACTGGTAGTGATATTTTACAAAAATTACAAAATGTTCAGTTTGATTTGGGCAAATCCAGAAGCTTGAAAAGAGGGCGTACAGTAGACTTCAGTGAGCATCATATTTGGAAGAAAAAATCAATTTTCTTTGAGCTACCTTATTGGGAGTATAATTTACTACCACACAATCTTGATGTCATGCATATTGAAAAAAATGTATGTGATAATTTCATTGGCACTTTACTTGATCTTGATAAATCTAAAGATAACTTGCAAGCACGCCAAGATTTAGTTGACATTGGAATTAAAGCCGAACTGCATCCACAAATTCTTGAAGATGGTTCATATTTTTTGCCACCAACTTGCTTCACAATGTCAAAAAAAGAGAAACTGATGTTTTGTCAAGTTTTGAAAAATATGAAAATGCCCAAAGGTTATGCATCTAATATCTCAAGGTGTATTAACGTTGCTGAATGTAAGATTGTGGGCTTAAAAAGTCATGATTGTCATGTGCTAATTGAAGAACTTCTACCTATTGCTTTGAGGTCATGTTCTCCATCTGATGAAATTATACATATTCTAGTGGAGATTTCAAAATTTTTGAAGTCAATTTGTGCCAAGGTTATTGATCCAAAAGAGTTGGACATACTTCAGAATAATATTGCAATAACATTGTGTAAAATGGAAAGATCAATACTCCCATCATTCTTCACGATCATGGTTCATTTACTTATTCACTTGGCCGAGGAAGTAAAATTAGGTGGTCCGGTTCAGTATAGATGGATGTATCCGTTTGAGAGGTATTTCAATTGTAATTACTAATTCAAGTTATTATTGTTTTTCTTGACATAATCTCAAAAAGGTTTTTATTATTGCAGATTTTTTATAGTATTAAAAGACTATGTAGCTAACAAAGCACAACCTGAAGGTTCTATTGCGGAGGGTTATATTGCTGAAGAAGGGATAACTTTCTGTTCTAAATATCTTGAGCGGTCTCAATTTTTGAATAAATCCGCAACAACGGCTGAGGCACAATTTATTTTTAAATTTTCAAGTGGTGGTACTCCCTTGGGAAATGTGA